ATGTAAATATTCCGCAAATAATGCATGACCGAAAACGGGCGATAAACAATGCAACGCAAAGGATTTATCGAATTAGCGAAAAGCGGACAAATAATTGGCAGCAATCTCTTTCCGCTTAATTAATTCCAGTTCCAGGTGATTAAAATATTTAATGTCGAAGAATTGCGACGAACGACGATATCTCCAGCCGACCTAATTATCGGAGAGAGATCGTCTCCAAATTTCTCCGTGAACAACGTTACGTGTCCACTTTACGGCGATTCACGATGTCTATCAAGTGAAGTCCGGGAGCGTGTAAAGGCCTCACGTGTAAGTCAGACGGTCGCGCGTGCAGCGCTGGTTTCATAAAAAAAAAAAAAAAAAAAAGAAGGAAAGCCTCGATAAAATCGGGAATAGAGCCATAAAAAATTTCTCGACGACGGTCAACGGCGGCGGAGAGTGGCCGGCGGCCGCATATTTCGCGCTCCATCGATCGACCGAAAGGGCCCCCCGACCGAGCGGGCGAGAAAAGCCGACCGAGTGACGACGGTAACGCGCGGAGTATTTAAAACGGTTTAGCCGGACAGTTAATTGCGCCAATAATTCCGCCAATGGAACAATAATGCCGAAACCGCTCGTCGCGGCGCGGCGCGGCGCGGCGCGGCGCGCGGCCCGATAAATCCCCGGCGAGAGAGATCCAGAAGGGAGTCATCCGGACGAGCGCACGCGACTACGCACACACCCCCGTGCAATGATATATTGAGCGACGCGTGGCTGTAATGTCGACATTTTGCCTTAATGTATCACGGAGAATACGGCGAGAAGGAAAGAGAGAAAGAGAGGGAATGGAGGAGAGAGGGGGGGGGGGATCTCCTGAAATGTCCTCAAATATACGAAGGTAAAACCGTTCTCCACCGCGATGACGTCCTGATGGCGGATATTAAGAAAAGAATTATGCCGTAGGCAAAATTGGGGTACACCTTATTACTTCGGGTATTATATTTTATCTGATGTAAATTTTGATGATGTGAGGTTGCGAGGTTTTCTTTATTAATTTAATTAGATTAATCTTCAAAAGAGATGGTCATATAAAAGAACAGATGTAAATGGGCTCTCTTATTTCTATGAGATAAATTTCAGAAGTTAATGGGGAAACTAATGAAAACTTCAAAAGGCATAAATAAAATCGGTATGATTATCTTTTTATTATTCAACTATGTTATTTATATAACATCTTATTTCTCTCTTAGCATAAGTTAATGATATATGCTTTCTAAACTCTGTAGAATTATGAAAATCCAGAAGCAGAACATGATCACATTTATCAATGTAATGTGTCTCCAAAATATTAATGAGACACCGTGTTGAATTATACTTTCTAATCAGTCGCGAACGTTAACCCACATTGGAATGCGCGCGATTAAGTAATTGACTGTGATAAGAAATTAGCATGAAACGAGCATTAAGTCGCCTGACCCAACAACTCCAGTTCGAAGTTTAATCTTTAATTTATGATAATCGTTATTATGCTCGGTCGCCTAGATTTTAATTCGTGCAAATCGTTCGCGGTATCGTAAAAACAAATTACGGAATAATACGGAATAATACAGTGCATATGGAGATAATATTGTTATTAAAAAAGGTAACTTTCGGTATCGCAAAACTTAAAAATTGTTTATTATTCTCGCGCTTAATTAAATTCGTAATATAATAATCGCTATTAAACGAATTTACCTAAATGCAAAATAAATGAAACGGTCATTTTTATTCTCCGCGCGTTTTCGCCTTATTTTTATGAAATACCGTTCCTTTAATCCGGCTCTAATTAAGATCTTTTACGACGTGAAGTTACATTCATTTTTTTTTACGTTCTTTTTTGCGCATTACGTGCACGTATCTCGGCTCGAATGGATCCGCAACGCTAGGTAT